ATTAATTTTATAATTTACGAAATAAAATTGAAATAAAATTAATGAAATAAATAAATTAGAAATGGAAAAAAATTTGGTAAATAAAACAAACGAAACATTTTTTTAAAAAAATATTTCGATTTAACAAAAATCTTTTAAAGGCGATGAAAAACAATGAAAAAATGTTTCAAAACGAAATAATCCGCTGGAATGGTCGATTTTTTAATTTAACGTTTAATTTAACAAATTCTAAGAAACTCTAAGAGATTCAATTCTAAGAGTTATTTGGATTTATGCTTTTACAAAGCTATACTATATTAAACTATATTGTTTTTCTGTTAAACAGGTCGTTCTTCCAAAAGTTATAAAGAGAAGCGGTTGGCGCGGTTGAGTGAGCGGATGTTCTTTCGATTCGTGATCCTCGATGGGTTAAGGGGAAAAGTCGAATCCGAGACAAGAGTGAGTGGTGTTCAAAAAAGGAAGACTGAAGAAAAGATCGAGGTCATTTAAATTTGGCTGATCTGGCAAATCTGACAAATGGCAAAATTTCTCTCTTCTCAAAAAATTCGTTGGAAAAAATATTTCACGAAGGAAATATGCAGTTGATGATATACAATAAAGAAATTTCTAAACAAATTTTAAGTGATATCAAAGATATGCACTGTTTTAGTAGAACAATGTATCCAGTCGGAATCGATATTAAAGGTCAAATACACCACTGTGATTGATTTCTAAAAAGACCAGTGATTTTGCCAAATAAAAAGTTGTTTCTTGCTTAATCTCATGAATTCTCATTAACCTCGTTCCTCTAGCATTATTAAGTCTATGAACAAGTAGCATTTTGCTTTGATTGAGAAACATAATTTCGGCTATCCCTTGAAGCGAACAAACTTGCCATTAACTCGAGTGATACTAGAATTCCACTACTTCGATCCTCGAGTGGCTCTCTGACAAGCGAGTTTCAAAGAATATTATAAAATAAAGTCCATTTCTTGTGCGACAAACAAATAAATGAAGAAAACGTTTTATCATGTATGCAGTAAGGCGATAAAGCAAAATATATGCAAAAGCAATCGCATAAAATCACTCGTTATCGCAAATTCGTTCAAAAAATAAGTTTTCACAGCAGTTCATTTTATAACAACAGGGACCTGTCATACTGTATACTTAAGACCGTAAATATACGCAAAGATTAAAAAAAGAACGAAATAATAAATGGGTAAATATGGTTGTTAGTTTAATAGCCCAAAGAAAGCAAAGAAATTTCATTTCCCGAAAAAATTAGAATTTCATTTCGACTTTGTTAAGTTGGCTGCTGGAGTCTGATTCAAATAATAATTTGCATGATGAAATCCATCTGAAAAAAAATCGTTTTCAAAATTGAAATTGGTAGAAATGAAAAAAGAAGAGCAAAAATTATCAGAAAATTGCTAACCACCGTTGATTGTATAATAAGCCAAACGTTTGTACGCATCGTCCACGGACGATCGACGTGCGATTAATTCGCTTAATGAAAAACGCCGATTTCGTTCGTTTGAAGTGTTTTCTGAGAAAAAATTTTGACATAGCGGTGTTTTAAAAAAAGAGTAATTTCAGCATAAAGAATTGGCAATTTCGAACTATAAGTGGAGATAAGTTGAATGGAGATACTCATCGCACTGCATAATTTTCCGGAGGTTCAATTTTTCGGACTGCGGAATTTTATAGAATTTATCAGCTGATAACTATATTGAAAAATAGAGAAATCAAAATGGAGTCACGCCTTAGAAATTTTTTCAATCCTCATCGAATAACAACAATCAATGGTAATTAATAAATGTTTTTTGGAGAGAAATTTTGACCTAGTAATATAAGTTCCTGGATTTTTTTAAAATATCAGTACAATACTCACCCACGGCGGTATTTTTCTGCTTCGTGGTTGACGACATAGCTGTAATTTATAGTTGGTAAATAAGCTAGGAAATTTAATAATAATAAATAAATTATATAGCTCTTTCAGCGAATTATAACGAAATCTTTATGACTGGATGCGCTGAATTTGGGTGCCCAGTGATGCTTTCAAAAGATGCACGCAATTTATTAAAGCACGACAGGCAATTCTTCAAAAAACGAAGAATTTTTTTATACGCAATTTATTAACTGACAATTTTGCTGAGACCAAAAAAAGGTTTACTAATGTCTCAAATGTTTTTCCATAAAAATTCTTTGCGGCTCGAATTTCATTCGTTGAATTCGTTGAAATAAAGTCTAGTGATTAATAAGGTCGTCGGTCATTTATACAAATACGGTGGTAATTAAGTGACAGTGACTAATGCTCGCCACTTGTGGCTAAGCCCGCTAACTATGCGATTCGCATTATTCTAGAGTTATTAACCGATAAGAGTCGCCAGCACCTCATTTTGCAAAAAGAGATAATAAATGAGAATTATGAACGTTTATTTTGCAGAGACTACTTTAACAATCTACAACTGCTACAGCAATTAATCATAAAAGTACTACAGGTAAAAATACGACAAATAACCATGACAGAAGTTTGCTCAGAAAATTAAAATTATCATTACGATTGTCAAGATAAAGGATATTTATCATTTAAAGGATCATTTAATTAATCTAGGAGGAGAAATTCAAACAGATTTCAAAATAGAAAAAAGAAAAACAAGGAAATTAATGATTCTTAAATAAAACTAGAATAATTCACCAGCACCCTCACCTATTTACATGAAACACCGAAAATATCACGAGGAGAAAAAATCGACATTTTTACACATCGAAGATCACAAAATGTTGTTTATTCTTATTCTTCATTCATCTTCCGCAAGAGTTTCATAGTGAAATAAAATAATGGCACTTTGTTATTATTTTCAACCAAGGATGAGAGATTTTTCGCGCAGTTTTGCAGGATATGCGTGTAGTTTCGTAATGATCGACTGTATCATTTATTTTCGCGAGTCAATAGCTTTTAGATATAAGATGGGAAATTAAAAGTACACGAGGGAAATCGCCACAACTGTTGAAACAAAAAGCGCAAATCGAAAAATGCAGATTATAAGGTGGTAAATAGCAATCATATGATCAGCATTAAATTAATTTATTTTAGAAAGCACTGATTTCTGAAGTTTCATATCTTTTAGAATGAACAACCGAAAAGTGATAAAAAATCACCAACGAGTCCACTGTTTCACGTCAGACGGAATACAGTAAAAATAAAATGCAATAACCCATATAAATCCAATAGTTAACTATTTTCCCAAATTCATTTCTGAAAACTTGGAAATGCACATCAAGGTTTGGGTTATATTTCCAGTAGGAAAAAACTACTAGGCGGTCCGAATATACTTGTTTTACCGACTGACTCCCTGGTCAACTCTTTCATCATCTTAACACCAGTAGAATTCGACAAATCAAAATGATGAACGCTGATGAATACTTATTTAATTACCGAACTATATTTGATTGAGATAGAATAGAAATGATTTTAAATGAAGAAAAAGCCGATTTTTTGCAAAATTGTATAATTTCATAGACTGATCGGTTGCTTCGACTGTATACTTCGATAGACAATCAAATCGACCATCAAAAACTGGTAGATCTTCATTTTTCTTCAAGACAACACAGATCGAATGAAATTTTTTCTCACCTTTCGCTGGTAAATTCAACCACTCTATTTGTGTAGCATCGTTAAGCTAAAAAGATCACAATAATTCAATCACCATAGGCAATAAGCTCTCCAATTCCCTTACAAATTCACGAAAAAACCGAAGTCCATCAAAACGCTTACCGAAATTTCCTTCTTTCTTTATGGTGAACTATAAACTTTTTGAGTTCATTTTGTATTAGTTTTCTAGACAAGCAAATATATATATTTTTCAACTTTTCTCGAACTATTCTTCTCCATCGACTATTCCAAATGAATTTCATTCTTTTTTGCTTCCAGTTGTTTTTTCATCAAATATTTGGTTTAAAATGCACTGGCAGAATGAGACAAATCAATCTATTCCATTCCAATTCATTTATTTCCTTATTTTTTGTAAATCCCTTCCATTTAAAATTTTTTCCTCTTCTTATAATAACTTTTCTCGTTGCTTTCTCATCTAATCTAATCTATGTTTTCCATTTAGAAGGCAAATATTCCCCTGTGAAATTCTTTCATGCAATAACTCGCGCCGTCATAACTGGATCCGCAGACTACGAGACGTCCCCAAGTAATCGGAGCAATATCTGAAAATCATAACAAAAACCACTTCTTTTACTGACATCCAAACCCATTAGGTCGCCTATATGTTTAAAATATATTGAAAAATGACTGTCCAAATTCTAAGTGGTCCTATTTGCTTTTGACGCCATCCATTATAGCTATCAAATCATTTAACATGCTTACAATATATCTTCAAAATTTTTGAAAATTTTATCAAATGAATCAACAAAAAATACAAATAAAATGTTATTGTGAATGATAATAAAATAAAAAAATAAAAATTTGGATTAAAATTTGGATGAATTAAATTTTTTCGAAAATCCACAATCAAACGAATCAACTTAACTCAGAACCTCGTCGCACCAATTTTTTATTGCGTGCTTTAAATAAAAACCTTTTAAAATAAATATTTTGAAAGGAATGCACTTCAATGTAGAATTCAAACGTTGCTTTATTTGAAAGTAGAAAATTTCCATTCGTTTACGATAATAATTCGAACGTGAAGTAAACAAATGATAATACTAATAACCTATGCTTCAATAATCAAACAGATTATATGCATAATTTATATACAACCATGTAACCATCGGTTATGCTATGACATTAAAGTCGGCGTAATTTTGCATAAAATAAGTAAAAATTTTACAATAATTAACCAAATTTTAGGAACTGAAGATGAAAAAAAGTGGTATGAGGAATAATTCTCTTCATTTAAAAAATAACTCACAATAGTTGACTAACAAATATAAGATTTGTTAGAATTTTCATAAAAAATAATTCTATAAATTGAAAAAAAATGAGAGAAAGCAAATCAAAATAAATAAAATCACCTATATTTTTTCGATTCGTCGAGAATTATTTGATTGCTCTCCGTGGACTCCGTTTGATGATTTGAATCATCATTATTAGCTGCCTGTAATTTTTTCATTTCTTCTGCGGAAGTTGAGTCATCCAGCGAAACACCGTATTCATTGACACGAGTGGGATCTACACGATATATCCATCGTTGGTACATATATATCTAAAATCTAGACAATATTTAAAAAAAAACCAATTTAACAACATTTTAACAAAAAGATAGCCTGAAAATTACAAATTTCAAAGATTTTTTAGAATGAATTCAAAGAAATACATCATCAGTTCTATTTTTAACAAATGTTTAAAACGACTAAAATTGTTTTTTATAATTTTTAAAAATTGAACTCACGAAGAAAACAATATCATCTCGAAAACATCCAAGTCTGTACATTGTTGGCATTTTTATCACAAAAGCAAAGAGATCATCAATGAATGTATTTATAAATTTGTAAGTAAGCATACGCCAGGGTAAATGAGCCACAGATTTTAATTTATAATTTATGAAAAGCTGCAAATACGCTCAATTACTTAAATAAATAAAATCTGTTTCGCAATTACGACTTACAGAAAATATGATTCCAAGTGAAAAAACGAACTGTTACAATAATGAAATAACAGTTAAACCTGTGGTGTCATCATAATAAATCCAACTGCAAGAAGAAAACTATATAGCATGCTCAGTATCCAGCTATACCAACTACGCTGTTCAACATAAATAAGCGAATAAATTGCATATGCGCCCAACATTGGAAACAAAATGCAAGAAAGATATTTAAATGCTAACTAAAAAAACCATATAATATAATTTGACAAAAATATATAAAAGTAAAAATTCAATTTTAATTTAATCTATCAAATATAATCTATCAAATATGTATATAAAAATTCACAATTATTAAATGCTTTTTTATAAAAGAGTTAATGGCCATGAAGTTAAAGATGCCGCTACCGGATAAATAATTAAATTTTAACCTTCTTAACAATAATGAAATTAAAATTAAGTTCTTAAGCAGAATAAACCATAAAATTAATAAAATTCACTTCATCATATTTTTTTGTATCTGATTCAATATATGAGCCTTTATCAGAAAATAATATCTTAGGTATCACTCCAAAATATTTCTGTGCACGATCAATCTGTAAAATCATACTTTAAAAGAATTTTAAAAAATACTAAAACGAAAAATAAAAATTTGGAGCAAAAATTATTAATTATAATATAAAACTGATTATTTGAGCTTCATATTGTTTCAGCATTTCTTGCCTCTTGCAGCAAAACAGTAATCATTTCCTAACAACAGTAACTATATGTGCAAATTAGAAACATTTAGAACATTCATTCGCAAACAATATTTTCATTTTAAAATAAACTAACATTAATATTTAAACATTTCGGAATTTTCCATATTTCTATAAGCAATCCTATGCCAACTGAACCCTTGATAATCCACGATGTATCATTGTCACATATGTATAAAAAAACCACAGCTGATTGGAAAACATTGAAAAGAACTGAACGAACAGATAATCCCTGCAATAATAACATCAAAAAAATTCATTAAAATTCAGAAATATAATTTTTTTGCTTAATATGAAACCTAAAAATAACAATTTAAAAGTATAAACCATGAGCTAAAACAGGAACAATCGAATAGCTGTTACTCATTATCGTCTTGCGCGCCAAGGTTCGAATCCCTCCGCGGGAATCATTAAAAAATCCGGGTAGTGGTAGCCACCCACTTGTAGTTCTGTACCTCAAATGACTTCCTGATGTTTCTTAGCACAGAATATGGAGACTTTCTAACCAGAAATGGTGGAACGCTAACCGCTTATAGGTGTTATAAGCTAAAAAACAAAATAAAAAAATAAAACATACATGCGATAGGCCCAGAAATTCATTATTAAAATGGAATTATATTTTAAAGAAATTTAGAAATATATAAGTTAACCTCAAGACTTTTTCGCGATCTCCAGAATTGTATGTCATTTTTGAAAGCGAGAAATTCGAATATTGTATGAAATATTGAAACAAAAATTGTAATGCCTGTAATGGTATATATTAAGAATCTATTATAATAATAAAAATAATAATAAAATTCTAATAAAATTTTTACTAAATTCAAAGATAAAATAAGTGAACCTAGAAGGATTGGATTAGTTTCAAGCAGCATTTGTTTAATGGAGTCTTGATCATCATCATCATCAACTTCGACGGATGAGTCTCCACCAAACATTTGAACCATCTGAGACCATTTACCTCGCATCTGAAATCATATAATTGATAGCAAAGAAAAAAACGTCAGAATCCGTCTTGAAAATATAATATATTATGAACGTAATATATTGCAATAATAATTTCATGAAACAAAAAAAATTTAAAAGGAAAAAGGCACAAAAATAAGTTAAACAGTTCATTTCAATAAACTTGCCACCTATAAATTTCAGTGATCTACTAATATTACCAAACAGATAAAAATAAAACTAAAATGGACGAAGATAATACGAATAAAATATATAATATAATAAAGCCTTGAATATAATAAAGCCTTGAATATAATAAATGAATATAATAAAAAGCCTTCTGCAATAAAACGTTGTAGTTTGAACATAACTTACTTGTTGAGATGCATAAAGCTGCCATTTAAATAAAGAAAGTGGTGCAAAAGTTAAGGTGAAGTTTAATTCAGTAACACTATTGTTTATAGGTAGAAAATCTGCAGCAAGATTCCAATAATCATTGAACAAAAATATCGGCAAATATGTATTTCCAATAGGAAGAAATTTAATCGCTTCATCCAGTGGTGAAGGCAACGATCCTGTAATTTTTATTTGCGTCTTTTCGTTTCGTTGACTATCAAAAAAAGGTACCATAAAATTGGTACAATAAGATAAAATAAACCTTTCTGCCATGCTGTTTGGTCGTAAACCAAACTAATGGTTAAATTTGGATGCCAATAATTCAAAATTTCATAATTCATTAAATCCGCTTTTCTTTGTTCTTCTTCACTTTGCTCTGTTTTTCCAGTCAAAAGATTTTGCGTTTTTTTATAATAACGCTTTTTGTATCTATTTAAACGCTTCGAATTATAAATAACCTGCAAATCCACATTAAATATCTTTTCAAAATAATATGGGCGAAAATAAAAAAAATTTCAAATTAAAATTTTATATCGCATATCAATAAAGTGTGGAAAACCATACCTTTTATTTTCATTTCTACTTGAGAATCTCAGACGATTACCTCCACTACCGTTATCATATAAACAAAAGACATCATAATATAAGCCACCTATCAGGATAACAGGGCCAGTACTCTTCGTAGCCTCTAATTATAGGAAATGACGCATATCCCGCAATTTTTGCCTAGATTTATAATGGATGACCATATAATCAAAGAAGCCCACCAAGGCAATATATGGTCAGGAAAGATTTTGAGTAAAATAGATGACCCTGCAATATTAGGGCTTGAACCAGTGATCGCCAGACTTCTCTCAACTGACCATCAGATCATGCAATGAAAATCCATGGATCCCTCGTGCAATATTTTTAGGTTTTCAAAAATTTTAAAATGAATTTTAAAATATTTAATTTTTTTTGCCTAAGAATTTTGAATGATATGCCATAACAAGCTACATAAGATAATCATTAAAAGTGACCATTCCCATTATCTGTTATCATTTAAATAAAATAAGGACATATAATATAATATTAATATTATAATATATATAACATAATTAGGTTCCCATGCATCTCCTGAGAATTGTCATAGACCCCACTAGATTCACAGTTTCATGATCACTGGTTTAACCGATGGGAAAAAAGCAAAATCGATTTCATGCAATATGATATACCAGAAGGGTGAAAGTAGCTGGCCTTAGCCTTATCAGAAATAGTGCACACTATCAAAACAAGAAGAATCTTGATAAAACCTCTCGGCCAAAGTAATTTCGATCCTCCGGATTTGGAGAGTGCCCTTCCTTTACGACAAAAACATGAATAAATAAAGACTGGTTGTTGATCAAAGGAGCCGGTGTTGGAATCGTTACGGATTTCGTCCTCGATCCATCTCCACTTTTACCAGAAGTCCAATCGCCATAAATGATGCCAGTTTCCTTCCAGAAAAGAGCAGACGGATCATCGAATGAGTTAAATCGTTCTATCTAAAAATTAAGTTAGTAAAATATAATAGAAAGATAAAGATTCGATGATTTCGTGATATTTTAAAAAAATAAAACAAAAAAATCAAATAAATAAGAAATACATCCCAAAATATGATAAAAAGAATAATACATAATAATACATATAAAAATAAATAAATAAATAAAAATCTAGCCGAATCCGAAAGATAAACATAAATATCGAATTTCTGTCCAAAATTATATAAATTTGTCGATGGCTGAAAATTACTTTTCCCTCCACTATTTATATTTGGATTGCCCATGAAATCTGCAATAAATTATGCAAAAATTTCAGATATAAATCTTCAATAATTGTTAAAAAATTAAAAAATTGAAAAAATGTCGTATGTCGTACAAAAAAAAGGGAATAAAGATTTGATAAACTAACTTTTCAATATCGAAGTGATAAAATATATCACAATCACCCGTGAGAAAAGAGTTTTGATTATATTCCATGCATCAATATTCTAAAAAATAACAATAAGAACAATAAGAACAAATTTTAATTCATTATTATAAAAGAAAAAATCCCAACAATTCAATTAGCTTTTAGACAATATGCTTTTCAATTTTGCATATTATATCAATGCGCCCATTATAAATAAATTAAAAATTTGTTTAAAATTTAAAATTTGATTTTTTGATTTATTTTTAGTTTGTTGAAAATTTGTTTAATTAAAATCACTTTTTCGAACAAAGAAGGCCTAAAAAATATTATTCACAAATAATAAAAATGAATCTAAAATAATAAATAAATAAAAATCTAATCGAATCTAACCGAATTTAAACCAACCTGTTGTTGAGGAACATTTGTTTCACTTGGAACAACTTCACTTCGTTGTACAATTGAACCTTGCTCATTTTCCACCATTATTATTTCAGTTGATCCACTTCTATAAAAAACATCACATAAATAATACGACCGTCAATATTTAATAAAAAGCCAAACTTTTATAAATTACAAATTTACAAATTTTTACAAATCTTAAAAATCATAAAATATTAAATTAAATGAAAAATACTGGTAATTCCACATTATATAAGATCCTGTTCTAAACTTAAGGAAAAACTGAATATATGTTCAATATCACACGAAATGATATATCTTTTCCCTTCCACTAGCCTAAACTGATTTGGCTCGCTCAAGTGGTGACGAGGGCAAGATATTTAACAAGCTTTCGACATTTCCAATCGGATACTAATCGTGAAAGAGACTGGATCTACTCTTTTTTCTACTCCTTAAGATCGATTATGAGTCGCCAATGCATTCAAAAAATACATTTTTCCCTTAACATATTGCACAAGGTCTTGATTACTCTACGTTATTTATGCCATCTACCATAGGATTTAGCAAATAACGAGATGTGCGTAATTCTTATGATGAGAGACGAAGAACCAACACAAACAACATTTTGAGATGTTCAACAGAGACGATGTTTTTATAAGTATTTTAAAAAGTTGTGTCAATTCCCCATACATATTCATATTCACCTATGTTGGTATCGGCAATAAATGCTTTTTTAAGCCTGATTAACTTCTCTGAAATATCTCTGCGAGAGCTTGCCCTGTTGCCCTGATCGAATCAAATGCAGCATCAAAACTGATGAAGCATGTAAAGTAAGATTCTTGAAATTCCAGTGAAAATTTGGTCAGAAAATCTATGTTCTGGCTAAACCGGCCTTGGTAAGATCGCATCCTTCTGTCGTACATAAGTCTATTCAGACGAGAAGCAAAATTTTTTTTTCAAATTCATCTAGCGAGACGATTCCTTGATGGTTCTCGCAGCACGGCCTATCATCTTTCTTGAAAACTGGGAATCGAACTACCCTGCTCCAGTCACATCGCTGTAGCATTTGTCTCCTCTCCCAAACTAACCATCAATATCTAGCAAGTGTATTGTGAATGACGGTGGACAATATTTGAAGATTTCAGCTCATTTCAGCATAGACCAATTTTTTCTGAGGCTTTTATTTGACTTAGGCTTGCGAAATCTAGAGATCATCTCGTGGTGGTTGCTGCTTCTCAGCCTTGTGCTGTCTTATGGCCCGAGATACATTCCAGTCAAACCAGAGATGCTCGACGGCCAGTCCTAGTAAGTTTAGATTCAAAGAACTCTCTCCATCGGCAACATCACAATGCAAAAAAAGAAGTAAATCGAAAAATAAATAAAATAAATGTTCACCAAAGAATAACTTTAAAAGTATGAAAAAATTACAATTTAACCTATGAATATTGAAAAAATAGACGGTGAAAAAAAGGAATACAAAAATAAATATTGAGAAAGGTATCGAAATAGCATTAAAACGTTGAGAATAAAATAATGACTGCCGATTATAGCAACGGACAGTTCCAATAATAAACAGGTCAATAAAGCATAACAAATGAAAATAATCGAGTGATTCGGCCCGCCACCAAAACACAGTGCGCGTCACTGAGGCGAAGCAAAATTAGCGCCAGGAGAGTAAAGCTGGCATTAAAAAGGAAACCTGGGCGGCGCTGACCACCACTCAACTACAATTCTTCCCACGCGCTCACCTCACGTTATTGCACCCATCTAAACCAGAAACGACCATCTTCCTCCATCTATCTTCAGTCTACTCGATCTCTGCAATCTCCCCAAATGCCGCACTATTTCATTAGTGTATGCGTCCCGTAAAACTGAAACACCCGAAAAAATATTCCCTCATTAAAAACCTAAAAAAAATTAGCTTATATGAACTAAGCAATTCGTTGAATTTTTCCCCAATATTTCCCTCCCATATTCTTTCACAAATTTCTTATTTCCCCACTAATTTTGGCCATAAATTTACCTTCTTTATTGCTTCCATAAACCAAATTTTACCTAAAACGTCGCAACACGAAACACAAAAATTCAAACTTCGACACGTAGAAGCCGATAATTAGTAAAATTCAGCACAATTTTACACTCCTCTAACCGCATAATTTCTCCATAGACTTCACCAATCGTTTATCTATCGCGATACGAAGTGTAGGAAAACGTTAGGTAATCCAGAAAAGCCGTATAATAGATGATGTAAAAGTCGGCCATGAATTGATTCAGCGTATAACCCATTTTGTATGAACGTCCAAATCATTTGAAAAGGAGTTGTCGGCTATTTCTTTGTAATGGGGGTGTAGTACCACAGGTCTTGAGTGGCTCTTTTGCTGAAAATTATAATGAATTGCAACGGACGATAGATAAGTGCAGCGAAATTTGGACTTTGCATAAATAAGGCGGTAGCAAGAGGCTGAGAAAATGAGCATATTTATAAGAAATAGTCATGAGGAAATACAGGCTTTTTCTTGAGCCCTCTGCTGTACTGACTGCCCTAGCAGTAGACGAAATTCTAGTCCGGATAGTCGACTATGAATGTTATATTTCTCCATTTGGCGAAACTTCCATGGAATCGCGGTGAAATCAGCGTCAAAACGCATCTCTTGAAGCATGAATTGTCTTGTTATATGATTGCGAAATATGGCCAATGAGAATGGAAGTGGAAGCCGGAATTTTGACGTTGATCACTTATGCATAAGGCACAATTATATCTACATGTGGCACTTTGCGAGTAGATTATACTGTATTCACCTTTGCTCAGATACGGGTTACATTAGTAATATCGTCAGTCTGGCTATTCGCCAAACCCTCTGATGTATGGCGTCGGATCTGGATTAATACAGTTAGAATAAATTTTGGCAGGTCAGGCCATACAAACCTTAGATATGGGAAAAAAGTAGCTTTATATTACTTTCAGATATGATGTAGGATCGAGCGATGTGGAAAAGCCCTCTTATCGTGAAAGATTGTTATGGAGAATGAATATATATCCTGCATAAATTGCAACTGCAATTAATTCTTAGGTAAACAGCATTCAAGTCCAACTGTCTGAAAAAGCTGCCAAAGCACGAATGTCAAGTGATCCTGACTACCGGATGCTTGGAAGAAGAAATTTGCAAGAAAAGCAGCACTACGAGGCAGAAATCACTATTGGAGTGACATGGCCTCAAGAATGGAGGTGGCGATTCGATTAAGCGATAATAGGAAACTGTTTCGCCTTCTTCATAAAGCAACTATAATTCGGAGAACGATCAGTGAAATGGTAAGAGATAGCAATGGCGTGTCAGTCAAGAATATTAAGGGCTGCTTCATAAAATGAAAGGAATTCTTTAAGGACAAACTTCATCATGAAGTACCATCTATTGCCCCTGATATAGTGATATAGCTGATATATGTTCGCCAAACTATACGCTTCCAAATGCAAGAAGAAGAAATAATCTCCGTTAACCATAAGCTTAAGGCTAATAAAACTGCGGAAGAAGATAGTGTCTTCTTTGGGCTTCAAATGTTTCGTTTCCATCGTCCTTCATAATGCACATTTAACAAATGGGTATGGGAAAAAGAAATATTATCAGATGATTGGAGCAAAGTTCTGCTCCAAATTCTCAAAGAAGGTGATAGGGCATACTGCTACTAGACGTCTCAGCGAAAATTTTTTGCTTCTCTTTTACTCAACAGATTTATGGAAATACGCGATAGTAGGGTGCGTCCTAATCAAGCTGTATTCAGACCGGGGCGCGGTTGTACTGACCAGATATTCATTAAGAAGAGTTTAGAAGACGTTAAGAAGAGTATTGGAAAATCGTTTCAGACAACCCACTGTCACTTGTTTCATCGACTTTGTAACTGCCTTTGATTCAATTGATAGAAAGGCGCTTTGGAGAGTGATGGAATGCATGGTGTTCTAGAGAAGATCATTCGGTTCATAAAGGTATTTTATCAGCATATCTTGCACAGGTCTCTGTCTAGGGAACTAACAGACTCCTTCGAAATAAGGACTGTTGTCCGTCAAGGTTGCGTCCTTTCCCCTACAATATTTAATTATGCGATAGACTAGATAACGGGTACCACTCAAGAAGTGTCCAAGTCAGTCCAGAGCATCGTATCACAGAATGCGCTGATGATGTAGTACTTTTTTCTGACAGTTATGACGAAATGCAAAGTAATGCTAAATAACGTATCAGAAACTGCAGCGAGAATAGGACTCAGGGTCAATGTATACAAAATGAAAGTCTTTTCATCTTATGTGCAAGAAACTGATAAAATGGCTCTTTTTGTAAATTCATTGCCGATCGAAGAAGTATCCGATTTTAAATATCTTGGATCCACTCTAATACCAAATGGCCAGGCAAAAAACGACATTATAGCCCGGACCATGGTAGCTAGAAATAACGAAACCTTTATGGAGTCGTCGTGAAATTACCATTAAAACAAAAGTCTGCATCCATATAGCCATGATTTGTTCGATCTTGCCATATGGTTCTGAGACATGGCCAATGAGAGTGGAGGATATTAAGAAATTATCTGCTTTGACCATTGTTGTCTAAGGAAAGATAATTTTACGCGTCGAGCAGATAAAGTATCACATGATCGCATCCACCATCCACGTTCAAATACTACTTGCATCAATAATATTATCGCAAAGCATCGCCTTCGATGGTTAGAGAATGTTCTCTGTCGTCCACCACAGGTGTTGCCGCATATTTCGTTACTTGCTAAATCATGTAACGTCAAAAGTGAGGGCCATTCAAGACCTGAACTGATACGGTCAGAAAAGATAAAAGATTTTGAACGTATAGGTGGACCAGTAATATACGTACTTAGACGATGGAAAAAAGAATGGCTTCTGTTACTATCGACGATGGCATCAGACCGCGTCGCTTGCAAGCGTCTTACCATTTTATCCGTTGGAGTCAGCATAACCAATAATATTGTTTCTTTTTCATTTCTTTATAATAATAAAAATGTGGAATTAGTTTTTAAATGATCTGTCATTAAAAAAAGAAGAAGAAAAAGCAACAACATTCAAAAGCGTCGACTTGGTCCGAGTGGTGTTTTTTTCATTTTTCTTCTTGTTTCGCATACCTCACCTTCTTTCTAGTTTGGTTGGCTCTACCATCAACTAGGATTTTTCCCATTGCTTTTTTATCGGTTTAAGGATAGTAATTCTTAATAAAGTATAATTCACGAGAGTTATAGTTTTTAATCTATTGCTCACTTGACTGCGAGTATTTTTCGCTCATGTTGAATCTTCATAAATTCCCAGAATATTCAGTTGAGGAACAATAGCAGTAACAGCAGTGATAATGGTAATAATTTCATCAAAAATTATTTATTATTTATTGAAAATCAACCAAGCATGACGCAAACGCTATGTGCTTGTATTAAATAACAGTTAAAATAATAAGAATTAATGACAAAAAACAAAAAAATAGTAATATTAAAATAAAATAAACAATTTAAAGATGAAATAAAGAGAATATTACAAAATAATACAATATAGTACAATTCGAAATAACTATAATCGGATGGTAAAAATTGCGATTTCACCCTTCCTGCATGATGTGATTTTTTTAAATAATACAAATGATATTATCTATTCTTTTTTTAAAGATGGCATGGTGCACAATCTATATCGTTCGGTAATTTGTTCCAGTAATTAATGTTAGCAATAAAGAAATCATGAGTCCTTAGTTTAGTTTTATAAATAGATTTTAGCCCATTAGTTCTTGTTGGAATTAAATTTAACCTGAAATTATAATATTCTGAAAAATGGTAAAGATAAAGGTTAAAATAAATAATATTTAAAAAATAAAGGTAGAACAATAAATTTACAAGGGACTGACAAAAAAAAGGCAAATCGAAGAGAAGAAAAGTTTGCCATAATTTCAATAAAATTTAGTTCTAAAAAAAGTTTTGTAATAAAATTACCACTTTAAAGTGTAAAATATCATTTTATTTTAGCGAATTGAGGGATTCTTTTAAAATTTTCTTTTTCTGTTAATGCTTAAATATTAAAACAATGAAGCCACAAAAAGAATGAATATCATTGCAAAGGTATTTCCATAATCTATTAACTAAAGAAATGTAAATATGGGATAATTTATTAATGATTTGACATGTATAATTAATTAATCATTTCTTTATAATAATAAAAATGTGGAATGTGGAATTTTTAAATGATCTGTCATTAAAAGTGAAATCTAAATAATACGGAATGAATCCGTTTTTGCCCTAAATCCCAGACGATTTAACGATCTAGCGGAACGGTTCTGCTCTGATGGTTTGTGCGATCCAACCAAATGACAAGTAGTGAGTGCTATTAAAAGATTTACATGAATATTTGCCGAATTCGCCTAATGCTTTCTCTTAAATTAACACATCTAATTTATTTTTTAAAAATTTTTTAAAACTTATTTTTGTTGCAACAACATTTCAAAGAAAAAGATGCACTGATATATTCATAGAAGAAAGGCGACGAAAAAATTTCAAAAATATGGAATTATGGAATTTCAACCTTAAAAAACGGATATTAATATATATCATATGCTTTGACAAATAAGCCAATAATAAACATTAATAATAATAGAATATAAAAAATAAGGATAACAGGTAAAAAGCATAATAAGAAGGCTATGAAATGCTATGATAACAAATAATAACGATGTTCTGATAATGAAGATCAGCTGATATCAGCTGCAGCTGCAGCAAATAAGTTCAGTAGCATTGTAATAATTTGATAATACTGTTGAGTAAGGCATCCATCTTTTATTAAAATTATAACTGGTCGTTGCAAATGCTTAAATTTATGCAAAAAGTCACTGATCTCTATTTCAGTTTTCTTTTTTGAGAATTTATTCGAATCGCTTTTACATTTCGATTTATAACGACGATTTTGAAACCAAATTTTCACCTTAAAGAGAAAACTACAGTTAAAGAAGAAATTTAAAATTATGTTTCACTTAAATATTTGAAAAATGCGCAATAGCCGCAACTTAAAAAGTTCAATGCATCAACAACAGAATACGAATAATGAAGCAGCCACATTCTAAACAATACCATCAATCCTTTATGTATAATCTTTTAAACTAGCCACAGACGATAAAAAAACTATTTTGGTAATGACTGGTATTCCTAATTATAGAAAATCAAGCAGACAAACTGACGTGAAAAAGAAGAAACCTGCTGTGGTGTCAAACCGAGCACTGCGGCCAGATTTGCTCTCGCTTCATTCGTCAGGTAGCGCTGCCGAAAAAATTCTGATTCGAGTTGACTGATCTAAATCGTTCAAAGAGAATTTAAACCACAAATTTCTGAGTAAAATTCCTAAAATTTGCTTCGCAATCTTTTCACAGCCTTTATTTGCGGATCATAAATTGGATCGTTTTTTAGCAATGCTTTTCCGTTCGTTTTCAAGTGTATATTAAAAATCGTGGGTGAGTAAAAAAGCTTACAAGAATCGATTAAATTCCACTTATGTTATGCATATGCTACCAGTTTACGGTATATGTTGGCCATCTTGCATTACCGTGCGGATCGACTTGACGTCGAGCTTCTTTGGCACAATTTTTAACTGGCACAAATTTATAGGGACAATACATTCTTTGATGAATGTTCAATAGTTCGCATTAGGCATAACGGAGGAGTTCACTGTATTATTGAAAAAAATGGTGGATATTCAATCCTCGAAGACCAATTTTCCAAGAGTTCTTTAATGTTTCGATTTAAATTATGTTATTCTCGAAATGCAATTTTCTACCGTGGAATTTGCAAATACACTTATCAAAATACGATCGATTCTTTATTTTTATCACTTATTTGATTATAGTTTTTAACATATACTTTTTATATTTTCATTGGCCTTTTCGTTGTTGACCGAATTAGTTTCTTTGAGTTTTGCAAATAACGAAAGATATTAGTAATAGTGGTTAAAATATTCTAATTATACCTGAAAAGCAGTGAAAGAAGATCGTTTTCGTCGTTTAATCGATGATGATAAGCTCATAGATTGTCGTGATATTCTGAATTTAGATGAGAGAATTTAAGAACAATAAGGGAGCTTTTCGATGAATGGACCAAGCGCTTTTGTTAAGAAAAAGGAGAGAAAAATTTTCTTATTCTTATTAATCTCTCGAACTGATCAAATCATATACTTTTTAATACTGATAAATGAGTTCAGTATATGCGATTGATTTTCATTGGCATTATTCGATGAAAAATCTACCTTAATTATTCGTAGTCATTCGTTTATTCCGCTATGTTTTAATTAATTTATAAAACTTTTATAAAACTATCTTTTTTTGAAAATTAAAAATTAATTCTTATCTCTTAACTCTTAACCCTTATAATATTAATATGATTTAATATTATTTTGATATTATTAATATTATTTAAGATTATTTTGTTTTTATTTTTACAAAATAAACTAGCACTATGGGGAATATAGTAACATTCAGGATGATAGCCAAAGCGAAGATTATCATTTTGAAAATCAAGGTTCGGGCAATGTGTTTCCAACAGTTGTAAACCTGTCATTAAGAAATTCTTATTATATTTGTATCCCTATGTGCCTTCTTAGCAAATTTCGCATCATATTTATAGACAGTGGAGCAAATTTAACCAAAAATGAGTTTTTTTTAGTAATCGATCGAATTTTGCATAAAAATACCTGTTTAATAATACCATTTATAAAGTAAGTAGAGGCAACTGCAACCACAATGAAATCTTAATTAATCTTGATAAAATTTTGATAGTTTTTATCACTATAAATATTTATTAAAAGTTATAATATTCCTGGAAGTTACTTGATATAAGCAGAGTTGGCATAAATAGAGCTCAAAGCATATTTTGAACACAGTAATCTAGCGAAAAAAGTGCCTAAAAGTTAAGCCCGGAAGTATAAGGCTTAATGAAGTACCGACGGATCTTTAACAAGTCTTACACACATCTGTTCGCAACGTGCTGCTAAACTGTTGCGGTCTTTAGATTTCAATTCTTTTGATGACACTAACAGTGGTGTATTCCCAATTATATTATTTGTTCCTCATTTGCATTCGTTTTTTTCTTCAATTTCATCGTTCATCGTTTTGTTCAAATTTTTGAAAAATTGGATGAAAAATGACGAGTTAACATTAGTGATGTTGTTGTAAAAACTTGTAAAAGGCTGATGAAATTCGAAGCTTTCTTTGATGGGAGTGTTAAGAATGGGAGAGTGGGAGAGCCCATATTAAAATATTTAAAATGATTTTATGAAACATTCAATAAAAATTTCCCAGTATTTCCCAGAAAATATGCCGAAAATGTCAATCGCTCTTGATTTTGCGAAAAAAGCTGTGCGAAATGCAAGATTTGTAATTTTAATTTAATTTACGAGTGAAAAATTTTATAATTTTTTCGAAAGTTTGTTAAAAAGACGAAATTTTGGGTAATTCACTGAAAACAAGTATTTCTCGTATTTGAATAGATTAATAAAGTTATTTAATTTGGCAAATCCCTATTCATATTGTTACTTTAAATTTTTAAATAGATATTCTCCGAGGAAATTTTAAGAATTTCTCGCAAACTATTTACTCCTAGGAAAATCAAAATAAGATTTAAGTTAAGTGGTTGATTTTTGGCATTTAAATTAAGGATCGCATTTTTGGGGAAATATAGCCGAGTGGTGTACTGCTTATGAGTTCAGTTCAAGCACACCTCTCATTCAACAATTCTATCAGTCGATCCAGTCAATCCTTAAAGGCTTTTTGACGAAACTATTGAAGCTTTTCTTGATAAAACCAATTGTTTCTATAGTAACAAAAACAACTAGTCCAAAACTTTCGAAAAGAATAGTTTTTTTCTGCAAAATCCTTGAAATTTTGAAATATGATGAAATTTCTATCTCTTGAATAGATTATTTAAACAGCGGTTCTTATTAAATTCCTTAAATTTACTATCTTATATAAGTTCCTGAAAAAATGGATAAGTGACCAACTTATCGCCTTTTGCAGCTATCTTTGTCTTAAGCCAAATTTGTACCAAAAACTTTTTTCTCAAATCGTTAAATTCAAATTCACAGTCCCCTACTTATTTAATTCTATAGTTTACGATGAATTTTCATCGATAAATGGCCTATTCGTCGATCTACAGGTCCGGATTAGCGTAATGTTGCTATGCCTTATCCTCTTTTCAAAATTAAGAAAGCTTTCCACTGCCATTAATTATAGAAGTTGCACGAAATTTTTTCATTGAAAGAAATTTCTGTATTCGCCATTAGAATATCTATCTTTTAATTTTATAAAGATATGTGTTATCTATTTCTACATCTGAGAAAAATTAAATGTTATTTTTCGTAGGTATAAAATATTTTGCAAATTACGAAATTGGATAAAATATTTCTTGAATTTCGCTTTAATATTGGCCATAGAAAATTTAAGAAACAATTGCTTCCTTCGTCAGAACTATTGAATTTTTTGCAAATGTACAAATTTGCAAATCTGCTCTCTTTTCCTAAGATAAATTCTACCAATAACAGTGCCAATGATTATATGAAATTTTTTTAACTCCATTATATTATTTTATATTTATTTATTTTAATAAAATATAAGCCTTTTATTAATAATCGTTAATAATTATAAAAAGCAGTAATATAATATTTAAGAAAGAGAATTTTCAAAATTTCAATGAAAATAATTAAAATAAAACCAAAGGGAGAATTTAAAAATAAAGAATTATCATTAGAAAATTCATTTATCCGCAAATAACTGCTTGGCAAAAATTTTTAATTATGATAAATTTTTGATTATTACGCCAGTGTGGCGAAATTTATCAGAAATGATAAACACAACTCTTACTTCTTACTTAAATTTAGATTTTTGAAAATGACTCCCAGATAAAAGGCAATTAGTGGAGTCAAGTGCCTAAAAAAGAACCTAATAATAACGATCTTTTTGCAATTTACAGAGACTTTTGTATAGTTTCGGAGTTAAAATCTCTCATCACCCAAAAAACATATGCAGCCAAAATTTTTGTTAAGAATCACAGTGTGCCTTCTTTATATTTTTCTCGGTTTATTACCAGTTAGCCAAAACTTGATACTTACTAAAATCAACGAATGTGATCAAGAAAATCTTCGATAAATGTCAGGTATTATGAAATGAATAATTCATTTTTAATCCTCTTGAATGAGGAAATCGTTGCATATACATTCAAGTCATTTGATATCATCGCTACTTTTTTAAATAACGAATAGTAGGGAAGAACATTTTATTTACGAAATATTCCCAGATAAGCTAGTTTAAGTTAATAATATTCCAGACAATTATTATTATCACAAGGATTAATGAAAAATATTTCGAAGCAAATTTAAGATTTTTTTACTTTCTATTAAAGTTTCAATAAATTTCCTGGTTTAAATCCAGAATTAGCATGGAGAAATAGAATGATGATGGCCACCGAGACTTTAAAACAATTGCCAAATGTCAATTTGATTTGCAGATAAGCCTTTGAAATATTTATAAAAATAATTTTTATTTTAATATTTTCAATCTATTTCTTTCGAATTTTCCCCCTTTAATATGCAGAGTAAATAAAAATAAAATGAAAACAAAATTACTTTCATTTGAAAACCTCAGAAATTCGACTGAAAAATATAAAACTATTTATTCATTTTATATAAATAAAAACTTGTTTTTTAAAATAATACATCGATGCTTCTTTTCTCAATTTCATCTAAATGGAATGCAAACCATTTCAAATAACTTCCAATCCTGAAATGATAAGACCGTTCAGCCAACGCTATTATCCAGAATCCTTTGCAATTTTAGTTCGACATCATAGATTTCGAACTCGTTGGTTTAAAATATATAAAAATATCTGCAAAAACTAGTAAGAAATTTTTGTTGAAAACTAGTATGAAATATTTTAAATCCATTTTTCATTCCATCATTCCCATTTCTGTTCACGTTTTTACAGTATGCTACAAAAATAATTAGTAAAACACCGAGATCACTTTTAAAAATTTCAGGGGTAAAATTGCATTTTACAGATGTCTTAGAGCTTCCTACAAAACCTGCATTGATTGATGTCGCCTCCCCGAAAAACCACACGCTGATTTCCTAAATATACTCAGTTATTATCGATTACTGTTGCAAATCGACTTCAATTCTGATAACGGTATTGAAGGTAATCAATCATATCAATACAAATGATATCCAAATTATTTTCACTTACAATTTTAAAATAAAAACAATTTTCCGAACCCGACAACCACCTGAAGGTTGTTGTAAAACTATGATGATTTATTTTGTTTCATTTAGACAATTTGCCTGATATTCCTATTTGGATCGACGAATTTTGCGAGTAAGACCAAACATATCATTTGTTTTATCGTTAGAAATTACATTTCTTAATATAAAAAATAAGCAATTTTTATTTTAGATATGCGTAAAATCTAATGTTTGAGGATGCAAGAAATGTCGAAAATGCATGCAATATACAGAAAGATTTACAAATCCAGAAATATAACTGTAATTTTCACACCAATTTCGGGATTTTAATTGCGCTTATTGCTTCTCTGTCGATTTAATAAAACTGGAAATCCTAAATAAAAGGTAAATCCTCAATGAATCACAAGAACGCAACCAGGATATGAAAATCCACACAACTATTAAAAATATTTCCAAAGTATTGCCATTTCATCACTTGATCCAGTGTGGCCTATATACATATGTCGTCGGTTCATTATCACAATAAATAAAGGATACACCATGAAAGCAAATGATTTTGGAAAATCAAAAAATTTCCATTTCCATGTAACAAAGATTTTATTGTGCCTAAGCCTAAATATTAAATAAAATTGAAGTCAATAAAATCTATACGATCTGCTCAGATGAACAAATATCAAATATCTAATCTAAATGCGACCTTTAATGAAAAATTCAGGCTTCTTGGTTCGTTTCCCATTTTATTCGAGCGGCGTTTGAAGAAGAATGCACTGTTTCTTGGTATCGGCAAAGAATATTTAGTGATAAACAAACAGAAGCGATAAAAAATGAATAATTTTGACCATTCTAATAAAATATCCTAGAAAATGTTCATCTTTAAAAAATATTTTCTGCTCATTTTTCAAAATAAATCTTACAAAACGATGGTATAACAACTCTTTCCGTTTTGCCGTAGCTATCTGCGAGAAGTTAAGCAAGAATAAACAAATAAAAAAATAACTTCTTACAAATACTTAACGAATACTTTCGTAAATACAGCTACAGAAGTTAATCAAGTTAATGGGTAATGGCGACGACTCATTTCTGCTTCCACCTCCAAGTGACTCCCTGACAAATGATCTCAGCTTAGTATTCAACAAAGTTATCCAAAACAGAAACGGTGAATGCCCTTGAAAAAATCAAAACATGATAGGAAATATCTTAAGCAAATTTCATTTTTTCAAACTTCTTCGATCCCTTCGGACCGCCTGCTTCCATTTTTTCATAAAAAAATCGCATATGGGCTTCCAAATTGAGAAAATTTTTCAGTTCTCCAGTTTTCCAGTTTGAAAATATCTTTAAATACATAAAAAATAAAAACAAAAAGGCACGAACCCTAAAAACTCATTCGATTTTTGAAAACACATTAGGAAATAAATTTGTGGCTTCAAATAACTTCTTCATTACTAAACTGTATTATTTGAAATATTTTACTGACCAACCTTATAAACTTTCATAAAAACAAAAAGGATTAGACAGACGTATTCCTGGATATGTTGTATGTTGCTGTCGCCATGAAAACTCATCATAAAATCATTTAAACCAGAATAATAATATTTGATGAAAAACTGAAACAGCTTTAGAAGTGGAATAACTAATAATTAAAAATGGAATGTTTCCATTATTAGCAAAATCTTGATCGTGCAGATTGATGATCAATAAAGAAGGTTGAAGTCAAATAATATACTATCAAATAATTCTTTTTCCCTGAAATATTCTATAAAAATTTTCATTTTTTGCAGAACACGGTAATCGACCATTGAAGAAACTGTACTAAGAAAACGAAATACAAGATATGAAAAACCCTTAAATTTTTTTGGCTTATTTTTCTAAACCTAGAAATCTTTGGCTGAATCGTTTTATTAAATAATTTGTTAAATAAAGCTAAAAATCTTCTATACGAACATTAATACAAAAATCCAATTTTCGATACTAAATAAAATTTAAGGTAAATCAAAATGGGAAAAATCAAATTGAAATCAAAATCAAACGAAGCTTTTTGCCAAAACAGCTATTTTCAATTTTAAAAAAATATAGCAAATCCAAAACATAGAAGAAATATTCTGCTTTCAATTCTCGCAGGAGAATACAAATGAATTTTTGTTAGATCGACGAATTTCAGTAAATGATAATTAATAATTTAACCAATAATTAATTAATAATTTAATTTATAATTTTCCCACAGCTCAATCGATGCACAGAAATATTTTTGTAGATTAATAGATAAATAATTAATTCATTAAATAACCGTTAAATGATGATACTATATAATAAACTTTCTCACAATAAAATGTTAAATAAAAACCAACAGAATTCTGAAAATGTGAATAGAAATATACAATCCTCTCCATCACTTTATTTTCGATGACTTCCAATTGTGGCATATGAAAAACGATAAATGACATTAGAAATTATAATTTAATCCAGATTTTATTGAAGTAGAAGGTCTATTTCATTAAACATCATCAGTAAGAATTCCACAAATAAACGAATTAAAAATTCCAAAAGCATCGGAAGAATTTCAGAAACCAATAATTGATACCAACCAATCAGTAGCAAATAAATTACCAGTGAATGACGCAGAAATAATCAAAAAAATCCAGTGCTCATTAGTCGAATATTTAATATCGGATAAAGTAAGCCTTTAACAAGTCTGGGAATTGCATGAAACAGTAAAATGAGAATATTCATTAGAGTAAACAAGCTGAGCTGCAAATTATATTAGATCCACGGACAAACATGGCAAAATTTCAATGCAAAATTAAATTGGAACAATCCAGGAATTACAATGTAAAAATAAAAAATATAAAAGGAAACTGAAAATAACAGCTCGAGAAAACGAAAACTCATTTACTTTACTAACCATTTCTGATTGATACGCAAGCTTTTCCTTCCACATTCAAACTAACCTGTCGTAAATTTATTCTGTTGTGATATTTATTTTATCTGGTTCAAAATGAATATGAAATAATAGAGGAACATGAATAACATGAATAAATACGAATAAATAATCAGAGCTTTGTTAAAGTGCGAATATGAAATGGTTAAGAAGCAGTTGAAGAAGTATCTGAAGGCGACTTTAGAGCTAATGCGAATAACAGATGCCCGCATTCAGGAGTTAGAACATTAACGCCTCGAGCACATGCTTGTATTAAACGATCTGCCATATTGCTCGCAGCAAAGACATATAAAACACCATTTGGTACAGTGACTACTCCAGCAGCGTCTTTATCTGATAAATAATTGGCTAAGGGCCGAATAGACTTGTCACAAGCTACAGCAATCATTAGACTCAATTGTTTTTTTGGTGAATTAATTAGACGATCTTCCAAGGCTTCCTGGCTTGCCAAAGGCAATCGTTGAGTAATGTGCAATTTCAAAGCGCTACCATCTGAAGGATCTCGAAGTAATCTTTGAAGCAAATGTTCAGTGCCAGAAATACGATGAAGACGAATAGCGTATTCAGTTTTTTTCAAAATTACAATACCCTGCCAAGTTGGAGCAATTCGACGTTCCAATTCATCAATAGTATCAATATCACCATCAGATGGTGTAGAAGGAGGACTTTCAGGAGGAGTCTTTGGCCCTCGTCGTTTTCTGGGAATTTCATCAGGTGTGGCTGGCCGTCTTTTGCGATCATTCTTTTGATCATCTCTAAATTTTGTAACAGAAAATAAATAATTTATCAAAAAAAACCGAATAAAAAAGAAAAATGATAAGAAAACATAATAAATGATGATAATGATAAGAAATGATAAGAAAATGTTTAATGAAATTTAGAACCAGTTTTTTGAAAAATATTGTACTTGGCAAAATCAACGATAATGCATCGATCTCGACCACCAAGAGGAAAACCTTTCATTGCACGACATGCATCCAGAGCCGCATTCTGATCCGTAAATCGAATATACGCAAAACTAGCTCCTTCTTCATAATCAAGTCGATCAATAAGCCCATAACGATCGAACTCCTTAATAAAAATCATTCCCCAAAAAATGAAAGAAGGTGAAAAAAGAAAAACAAAGAAGAAAAGAAAAATGCATAGTAAAAATTCCAAAATTCAAAATCAAAATTGGAAGATTTAAATTTAATTTAAATTTCTAAAATTTAAAAAATTTCTTGAGCGGTTTCTGTTCTCCTCTGCTTTCTTTACATTATTTCTGGAGCATTAAAATTTGCTACAAACAATTTGAGCTAAATTTTGTTGAAATTTTTAAAATAAAGAGCTAAAAAAAAAATAAATCATCAGTAAATTAAATTAAAAATAAAATACATATTAAATATAAAATACATATATATATTAATACATATATATAATACATATAAAATACATATATATATTAATCAATAAAATAATAATTTACTAATTTATCATATTACTATTATTATTTCATGATTTATTCATTATTTACTATTATTATCATTATTATCAACTATTATTATCATTATTATCAATTATTATTATCATTATTATCAATTATTATCAATTGTTATCGTCATTATTATCAATTATAATTATTATTATTACTATTATTACCATTATTATTATTTTATTATCACTTTATTGTTACCATTATTATTTTATTTTATTATCATTATCTTATTATTATTTTATCATTATTTTAAATAAAATTCTTCTTATAATTATTTAAATAAAATTTTAAATAAAATTCTTGCCGGGTGGTACATATGATAAATATATGATAAGGGCGTAATAATAAAAAAGTAATTCCAAGGCTTGAGCATAGGATATGCTCGCGAACTGGGATAATTACTCAGAACTCGTCAAGGAAGACGAGAATCTATCCACTAACATTTTGTAAGCGTTGCGAGATGTTGGCTATAGCCGCTTGGAATATCAAAATGCTTATGGACGTTGTAAACCAAGCGATTACACCCTTTCTAAATACCGCATGGATGTGGCTTATTTGTCGGAGGCCTTCCTCATGTCTGCTCTCGAGTCTGCTCTCGAGTAATTATTAATTTTTATATGTCATTCCGAGTAAAGATATTGGCTTTATCAATGTGGTATCTCGGATAACTCGAGGAGAAATGGTTTAGCGATTGTTATACCTGAAAAAGCTCTGACTCTGAAAAAAGTGCAAGCCAGTAAATGATACCATGGCCTACATGCGCTTCAAAGGAAAGTATTTCGGTCATCAGTGTATATGCTCCAACTTTATGCGCAGATAATCACGATAAGGATAACTTCTATGCAGAACTTCAATTAGTAACAACATCTTTTTATAACAACAACATTTTCATCTTATATACAAGAAGCTGATAAAACACCAATTTTTATCAATTCATTGCCGGCTGAAGAAGCGCCCGACTTTAAATATCTTCGATCCTCTCTAGTCCTAAATGGCACAGGGTGAAATTGCAACCCGGAAAACGATAGATAGACAAAAATGTGTTTTCCGGTTGACGAAAGCTTTAAGGAACCATTGCGAAATCACCATAAAGACGAAAATCCGTTGAAACGAACCATTCATTTTTTGAGCGTATAGCTGCTAGCATTTTGCATCGACTAAGATGATAATATGTTCGATTCCTGATCTTGGCGAGAACAAACCTGTCATTAAAAATGAAATCCAAGTGGAATAGACCTTTAGATCTAACAGCCACGATTCATCCGATCTTACTATATGACAATGAGACATGGCTAATGAGAACGGAGGATATTAAGAAGTTATCTGTCTTTGACCACTCATATCTAAGGTATATTTTATGGGTTTGCCGAATGGATAAAATTTCACATGACTGCATCCGTTCAAATACCATTTACATTAATATTACCATCATAGAGCGTCATCTCCGCTGGTTAAAGCACGTTCTCTGTCGTCAACCATATGAGTTGACGCATAATTTCCCCAATCTGTGATGGTTGGCGTCAAAAGCAAGAAGGTTCAATCAAGATCTGGACTAATACAATCAGAAAAGATTTTGAACGTATAGACCAGCAATATATAGAATTAGACTATGGAAAAAGGAATGGCTTCTATTACTGGTAACGATGGCGTCCGAATGAGCTTTTCTCTTTATTTTTCTTTATAATTTCTATTTTATTGTACTTTTTTCCTCCCAATTTTTTTCGTTGTTTCTAATGCGTAAAGTTACCATAATTTTAAAACATCGGATGGCTGCTAAGGAACCATCTGTAACTCTATCCTCACGTAACTCTATGGTGAAACTCTTTACTCTACTCTATATGGTCTTGATTCACATAGCCGAGCCCAACGGTATATATGGTAAATATATATATATACATACAATATGGATATAATAAAACAATACAAAGGCTTGAGAATAAGATGTGCTCTTCAACCAGATAAATGCATGGAAGGAAAATTTTCTATATACCTATGCATGGCGAAGTATCAGCCATAGCAACATGGAACATGGAACTTATGGACATTGCCAATCGATCACTTTTTTCGAAATATCGTGTGGATTTCGCCTGTTTGCCGGAAATCCTCTTTACTTCGGGTCTTGAGCAATTACTAGAATTGTTTCCGAGCGGAGACACTTGCTAAATCATTGTGGTGCTTCGGATGGCTCGAGGCGAAAGGGCATAGTCATGTTTAAAAACGCCTGATGCACTCTCACTGAGCGGAAGCCGATAAAGAGGTTTATGCACGCTTATATATGGCTTGCGTTCGCTTCAAAGGAAAGTTTTCTGCAATATTTCAGTGTATACGCTCTAATTTTATACGCAGATGATCGAGACAAGGATAAGACTTAAATATCTCTATCGAAAAGTGACATCGTCGGAGAAAAACAGAATATAATGTGGGTTATGATGCCGCAACGATGAATTCGGCAATTGGCAAATATGGTATCGGGATCCAGTGTGCCAATGGAGAACTTGGTTTTGCTGAACAACATGAACTTTCACAAGGTCACATGGAGCTCCCCGGATACCCAATATTTCAACCAAATTGACAGTTGTAGCTAGAAAAGTTCCGTAGCTGTTCCTATCGGAGGGCTGGTAAACTGGCAACTTTCATGGATCAGATCATGTTATGGTTCGAGATTTGCATAAAGCTGATAACGAGAAAAAAGGAAGATCTTTCAACTGCCTCAAACTAAAAGATTCAGGGACAGCAAGCGCATTTCAAAGCGAATTATTGAAACACCTTAGTGAAATGAACATCAATGACATCCTTGGAACAGCGAATAATAATGGTTAAAGGTATATCTCCGAAAGTCAGCCACTTCCAAATCAGCATATATACTAGAATATTCGAGTAAAAAATGCGCTAATTGGGCATGGTAAGCAACCGTCCAACTATCCGAAAAAACTGCCAAAGCCCGAATATCTGGTGCTTCGAAAAATTACAACGACAGTAGCACGGCAGAATAGAAATCTCTATTGGAACGATATGACCTTGAAAATGGAGACGATGGAGCGATAGAAGGGATTTCACCTTCTGAATAATGTAATTATAACTCGAGGAATGGTCAATGAAACGATATAGATTAGCAGTGGTGTGCTTGTTGGATCCTCTTAAGGTGGAAGGAATTCTTTGAGGCCAAAATTAACCATTATGCACCATCTACCATGGATATATCGCTTATCCAGCCATATGCTAGATGAACAGGAAATAATCTCTGTTATCCATATGCTCAAGGCCAATAAAAATCCCAGGGAAGATGACAGCCTTCAAGCTGAATTTTTCAAATGTTGGCCATCGTTTTTCACACCTTCAACAAATGAATGGGAAAAAGGACACCAGGTGATCAGAGCAAAGTAATTCTGCTCCCATTCCCAAGAAGGGTGATAGATAAGGGTGACAGAAGGGTTACCGAATAACCAGCCTAACTGATATTTCCGGAAAAATTCCCACTCTTCTATTGAATATACTTATGGCAGCACGAAACAGCGGGATGCGCCCTAGTGAAACTAACACGCGGTTTTGGTGACCAGATATTCATGTTAAGAATGGTGTTGAAACAATGCTTCAAGGCAACCGACTTGTTTCATCGATTTTATAGATGCCTTCGATTCAACTGGCACAACAGCGCTTTAGAGGATGGAATCTGATGGTGTTCCATTCGACCCACAAAGACATTTTATCAATGCACATAGGAAATTGTGCATGAAGAAATGATAAATTCCTTCGATATAAGAACTGCTGTCCGTCAAGATTGCACTCTTATAAATCTTCACATGATTACATCCATCATTGCTCAAATATTATCTGCATTAAAAATACCATCAAAGATTGTCGCTTTCGCTGAATAGGGCAGGTTTTTCGTCGCTCACCACAAGGATTGACATATATTTCATTACTTTCTAAATACCTTATGACGAAAAGTGAGGAAGGATAATGAGGACTTGGACTGATATAGTCAGGAAAGATTTTGATATAGATGGAACGGCAATATGGGGACAATGGAGAAAGAAATGGTTTCTATTATCAGTGATGGCACCGTATAAAACAGCTTGGAAACGTCTTACCCTTATAGCCAGCTAAACCAGTAATAGTGTTGTTAGAAGAAGAAAGCAAGATAAAATCACCTTAATGCAAACCCCTTATAAAAGTCCGATAAGGAAATTACCAGATCTAGCAAAAATGGCGCCTTTTAAACTAAATATATACCTTTGCCAGGTATTCCGCCGATGTCCATGGACCAAGTCCACCAATCCATAAACGATTTGATGGTTGCGATTTTCCATAACCAATTTTGCATCTAGAAGAACCTTGGCGTATAGGACGATCATGCTCATGATTTTTAGCGCTCATTGCTTCTTCTACTGTCTGTAAATATACTTTTAAAACCTGAAACTAAACGTTAAGAAATCATCGGAAAAACTAATCAAGTCCATGAAAAATTATCCAATTTTTATAAAATTCTTTTTATTTTATTTTCATTATTTTCATCTGCACATTATTATTTATTTATTCTTTATCATTTATGCACATTCTTATTCTTATTTAATCTTATTTAATCATAAAAAATAATGAAAAAAATAAAAAAGATAATGAAAAAATAAATAATGAATAAATTATACCTGGAATAACACGAAAGCGTATGCCGCATTAGTTTCAGGCGGATTTTTTATATCGACATCTTCAATTTTGCCATATTTTTCAAAAACACGACGAATTTCCGATTCCCTAATGTCTGCTGGCATGTTGCCCACAAAAAGTGTTCGTGTGGCATCCGTATCATCTTCTTTCAGCTTCCATGTTCCCTCACCATCTCTCCGAGAGCGACTGGGTGATTTTCTAATATAAAACCGCATGTTTTCAATAATTCTTCAAGATGAAAAGAAAAAACGAAACATGAACAAAACATCCATATGAACATTGAAAGATATTGATGGTTGCTGGATTATATAAATCCTGGAAAACATTTATGAAAAACCCATTAAGAAAGCTCAATATACCTCCGCAATGGATCTTTCCGCTCGCGTTCCCGCTCGGCTTGCAAAGCTCGATTATATCGATCAGGAATATATTTCCCCTCTTGATCTCGAATTATACCAGCCGGATCTAGGTGTAAACGTTTTCCCAATAATTTTTGCAGTCTAAGTAACATTGTATGCCGAATAGTTCTAGCAGCATCCGGTCGTTCAAAATTTACATATGCTAAACGCTGGTCATCACCAGGATTACGTACAATTTTAATCTGCAATCAAATTCTTTATGTATTTGGAAAACAATTCGACCACAATCTTTGCGAACATGCTAAGAAATAAAAAAAAATAGCAGATATTGCGAAAAGAAATGTGCATGATTTTAAAAATATATCTGAAAAAATTGCCAAATAATTTGAAAATTGCCTCAAATGGTGCAAATCGATGAAATTCGCGTTCTAATATATCTTTTATATCCTCCTTTGATAACTTTGCATCAAAATGAGAGAATCGAAGATTCAAATATTCTTCAGGTGAATGACTTCCGAATCGATCTCTGAAAACATAAAATGAATAAAGATAATTTACATATTTTAACTGAACTGACTGCTAATTTGAATGAAAACTCCAACTAAAGATAAACTATTTATCACATATGGATGAAATTTCTGAAAGACGATGCTAATAAGTATAAAAACACGTAAAAATATGATTCAAAAATTTCATTTAAAAAAATCGTTTTCATTTCTTAAAAATTATTTACATCAAAGCAAAATACCTATAAAATGAAGAGAGGGTATCTTGCATTCGATCTCTACTAGATTCGCGTCTAAATGGCCCTCGCTGAATGGATCTTGATTGCCTCCCTGAATCATTTATTGAATTCAATCGTTGGTTTCTTTCATCAACGCGAGTTGCGTATCTTGCCATTCCTTTCGAAAGCAGAAACAATAATTTCTAAAAACAATTTAATGGGTATAAAAACAAGTAATCAAGTCTAAAAAATAAAAATATTAAATTAGATGAAATCATTAATTAGATATATGTAAATATAAAAAAGGTAGCAACAAAGGGAGAGAAGAACAAGGCTGAGACTCGGTTACTTGCTTTCATTTTTTTACCCGCACTTTTCTTTTATATTCCGATATTTTTTTCTCGGCAACCATATTCGAATCATGACGGCCCCACAATTCTTTTTTCCCCCTCTTTTCCTTTTTCAGATAATATTCGACATTTTAAGTTTTAGTAGCCTAACAGACTAACACTCTTACGCCAGAGAACCAGAGATGGATTAGCAGCAATGTGTGGATTCCAGCTGCAACGCTAGGGCCGTTCTTGTCAAGAAACAACAACCGAACCCACTGCTGTCTTGCCTTTTCTCATATAAATACAGGAGGAAGATGGAGCAGAGAGAGGAGAAACGGGAAAAACGAAGGAGACGAAAAGGAAGAAAAATATTGGACCTCAGTCTAGAGACTGCTGATTAACGCCACTTCTCGCCGCTGCGAACCTTCACGATTCATTCACAACGAAATAAAAGAGGCATCTGAAAATCTGAAAATTACTCGTAAGAGGAAAAACGCAATGTGCTGAAAAGGTCGGCGCGAAGCAGCTGAAAGACGCGGAAGGCGCACGGAGCGCGGCGCGAATCGGCAGACGCATTTCAGCTTTGCAAAGTTCTTACGGGAAAAATGAAATGAAAATTCCGAAGTAATTTAGGAGAAATTAATAAAAATAATAAAAAACAATAATGAAGGAAGTGTAAAATGAAATATGCGAAATATAAAATAACACTAAATAAACTAAGTTAAATATAACGAAATTCTAGAAAATGAACGATAAAAAGAACGATAAATATTGAAGTTGGCTTGCAAAGTTGCCACTAACACAAGAAAGGCTGAACGAGCCGACCGACTTCAAAGCTGCGACTGGTTGACTTCGAAAGGCCGAATAATTCAAAAAGGCTGAACGAGCCAAACGATCAACTAAGGAAAGGACGAATAAAGAGTCCGAAGCCGACGATTAATTAATTTACGAATAAATTCATTCACACGGACAATCAACCAACAAAAAAGCAAGAACTGCAATCGATAAAAAGAAACCAGTAACGATCGTGGCCAAACTCTATAACCAATAAGAAGGTCGACCGCGAAGAAGAGTTTTTCTTGGATGTTAATTGCCGGCTAGAGCAGCCGTGTTTTTGCAAATAGCAGATTCGGCAAATTGGGCCTATCTGTTGCTTCGGATTTTTACGTAGAAATCCGCTGCATTTTATTTTTTTATGGTTGCGTTATTGGCTTGAAATATTTTAAGTAGCGATTAATTTTTGCGTTTCTATAGCTTCCTTTCTTTAGTTCGCTTCCGAAAGTTCGCCGACGTCGGAAATTTCTTCATAACTCTCTCTTTTTAGTTGCAACAAATTATTATTGAATGTTTTTGTATAAGGTTAAATTGTTACTTTGATTTGCGGATGAGGAAGTGGAATTGGAGAAGAGAGTGCGGTGGAAGGGTGGCGCAGCCAAACTAAGCTATTTCGAATTACGCTGTGGCGAGACGATGCGAGAGTGAGCTTTGAGGAAGTCTACGGATAGGTAAGTTGTTGGGAAAGTACTTTGGTTATATGAAGAAATACAAAGAAGGAATGATGTGGCCAATTCCTAATAAAGTTGTTCTGAGTAAGCAATGAATTAAGGATGACAGTGAAGGATAAGAAACAGGATTCTTTTTCTGAATTGGAATTTAAGCGAAAAATGCTCACATGTTTTTTATTTGAAAGAAATTTGGAAAATGGATATCAGCTTTTTTACGAATCCCCGATTCATCAAGAAGGCGCACTTTAAGAATTATTGGTTTTGTAGTTGGTTAGTGGACTTCCGGATTAATTCTGGTTAAAAGGCAAGATCCAGAAATTTTTTCCATCCATGAAATATAATTCAACGATAATTGTCTACTTAAATTTTTAATCTTCCGTAATCTAACCTAAATTGCTATTATTTGCTATTCAAAATTCAGGAAAAACGAACTGGTTTTGAATAAAACATAATTATTGCACTTAATGATTTATTCTGAATAATTTCACTGAGAAAATTTGAAAAATGAAAATATTTTTGCAAAAATATTCTCAAAATTTTGATAAAAAAATAAAAAATAAATTTATAAAATAAATTTATTTAAAAGTAATATTTATGGGTTTTTATTTGGTTATTGCTTTATATTTTTTTACTTTGTTGTCAGTTCAGTGTTGGTAATAGTAATGGTAAAGATAGAATTGTTACTTTAGTGTCTTATAGCTTAAGCTTCGTTTTTCTAATCATTCGCAGTACCGAAATGTGGCGCATGATTAATATGGAGTGCTAGAGTTCACATCGCAGCCAACCCTCCTCCACCTTTACGATGAGGGCCCTTGTACAAAAACCTCTGAAAGCTTATAAATATGAGAATGTTACATACTGGAGTCATCTAAGGTCCGCGTCAAATGCTGAGAAACCAGGTATATCTGATGGTAAATGAGCTACTGGAACGATGTCAGATGTTATGGAGGCAAATCTGGCTATTCAAACGTTATAAGATTATATGGAATTAATGGAATGCAGTAGTATAGCTATGAAAGGAGATATAGAAGACATACGAAGAAACTGTGAGATTAGCAAAAGATCTTTACCCACATTAACTTTTATCCACAGTATTTTCTGTCTGAGCATTACTCGAACAGTACATAGGAGAAAAGATCCATAACACCAATGTGGAGTTGCTACGGGACCTGAGAATAAACCACAGCATTTTCTCAAAGCATGACCCAATTATCGTCAAAGCTTCCAATATTTCCAGCTTGAAAACATGAAAAGTTGGATAGTAATAGTACTTGGTCCTGGTATGATCCACATCTACTGGCTAAACTAACAGTGGTTCATGGACACTCAAAAAAAAACTATACAGATGAACCAGATGCTTGCGGCAACCAACTCAAATTGGTTAACATAGGGAAGATCTTGATGCTGAACATGAAAGATTCTCAGGACCCAACATAATCCAATTATCGACCAGCAACTTGCTCTACAAGGTGGAAAGTGCTGTCAGCCATCATAGCCATCAAGCTGCAAGACCATATGAACCAGCATATAAGTGCAGTTTTTTCACTCCAACGTTGGGAACAGTTGGAGATTCAAAACATCAGTCGTTCATAAAGCCGCTCAAAGTCTCGGCAGACCAATCTGTGCACAGCTTGGATCGCTTTGTATTTGTTAATTTCGTAATTCTTGTATTAGTTTTTTTTTTATATATATTGTGCTTATTGTCATTTATTCATTTTTTATTTCATTTATATTCATATACTGATATTATATTAATATCTTTAATATATATTAATATCAATTTTCAGGCATATAAGTACTATTTGATTTTCAATTGAAAATGAGCAAAACACATCCACCAGAACTAAAAAAATATATGGATAAATACATGGATATAAAGTTAAATGGAAATCGGATGATTTCTGGCATACTTCGGGGTTTTGATCCATTTATGAATATTGTCGTTGAAGGAGCTGTTGAACACACAAAGGTTTTTTAAATGAATTTGTTACCATAATTCAGAGATATTAGAATTTTAAAAGAATCAATGCTTTTAAAATTCTTAGGATAGTGGAGATCGAGAAATAGGTATGGTCGTGGTACGCGGTAATTCAATAGCAATTATGGAACCAAAGGAGAGGCTTGAAGGTGGTCGATGAACTGAAATCATTTATTTATCGTTTTTTATTTTTATATATTTATATATTTTAATATATTTTCTTTTTGAAAATTAAATTTTATTTTTTTTGCATATTTTTTTCTATTTTCCTATTGATTTCACAAAACGAGCTTGCATCTCTAGAAAAAAAGTGTTTATATTTTTGATAATAATTCAACTTGTTTTTGCAGAACACAAGAACTTCTGGTAAGCAAGAAATTTAGAATGTTTCAAATGACCAGTTAGCTTCAGGATGAAAAATTTGTTGCTTTGATATCTGCTAATATGTTTTTATTCTATTTGAACTTCTGGTAAGCAAGAAATTTAGAATGTTTCAAATGACCAGTTTTATATTTTATTTGAAATAAAATGATTTTTATCGTGAAATTCGTAAAATCTACCATTTAGTTAAACTACACAAAATCTAAACATCAGAAAATCTAAACATTTTTTTAAAGAGCTCTTACCATCATTGATTAGTCAGATTTGCGAATTGACCGTGTAGTTCCTTGGCGATGGGAGTACAAGTGGGTCGCCAGCATTACCAGGATTTTTGGAAAGGTTTATTACCACAGAGAATGGTGAACTTCGCCACTAGCGTTCCGAACTAAGCAACAGTGAGTCAACCTATTCCCATTCGTTTTTCTCATCTACGTCGGTGGAATCTAGGCCTCGATTCTCGATGGTATTTGCCTTGCCACTAAGGAACCAACGCACGATTTGGATTTTTATTAGACAAGGTTAAAATGGATCGTTATTTAGTCATGATTTAGGTTCAAAATTTTTAAGGTCTTTTGAGACGTTTTTGAAATCCCTGAAAAATTTCTCATTAATAACGATCAACATCTAGTGATGTAAATTCGAAAATTTCTATTTGCTAATACATATAAGAGATTTAAATGTTATTAATGAGTCTTTTTCCGATAAATTTGATAAAATCAATGATTATTGCGAAACGAGGTTGATTTTTTTTTGGAATGCTGAATATCGTGAAATAAATCAGAAGAATATCTCGAAATATAAATTCGAAAGGAATTTATTTGGGTTATGGAAATGTCTCATTTTTATTGTCAGAATCCATGGAAAATACGAATTTCCTCAGCTTGAATATCCGTTTGGAATCTTTTAATTATAAATGTTAAAATAATGGCAATATTACATCTGCACCACATGACCATAACTGTCGGCTTTATTGCAAACCATGCCAATCATGCAAAAAACGGAAACAATTAATAAGAGTAGGGCCGAGCAAACCATTAGCAATCATTTAATCTAACCTATTACCCTTGTTATTAAAGCCGTCATCTTAATATTATGCTTGACAAGTTTTTGCGAAAGCATTTATGCTTATGGCTATTTTTTAAATCTGTAAATTGCACTGCTTTGAACAAAAGTTTTGATAGCTGAGCCAACTCGTCGATATGCTAAGAAAAAAGCAAGGAACAAAAGAAAACAGCCAATTTTTCAAATTCATTTTAGCTTAGCATTTTGGTATTTTAAATTTATTCTATTTATAATAACAATTTCTTTGTTGTATTCGATGGATTTGGCCACTAAATTTCCTTGTTTTGCAGTACTAAAATAAAGATGATTTGTACTAAAATATTAAATTAATATAATCCGATTAACATTTTAGAATCGTAAACTTAGGTAAAAAAACTTTGGGAATATGAGCGACGGATATAATTTACCATATGTAAATTATAACACTCTAATAACATTCAGCATTTCAGGTTTAGCTTGCTGAGCAAGCAATGATGGAAAGCCAAATCATCAGCGAGTTACTCGCGATTAGAGTGTCGAGTGTCGAGTACCACCTGGATTTCATTTTTAACGATGTACTCCTATCAAAGAGTAGACGTGTATGTTGGTTGACAGAAATGCTGGTTTGCCAGAATTGATGCCAAAATTTGCAAATTAGAGTCTCTAAGCTTGCAAAAATGCAAACGAACGCCTTGAGAAAAATTAAGATATCTTCTATAAAAATAAAATTTACTTAAAATAAGTACTTAAAAATTTTTAATGGGTAACTAAATAGTTAGGAACAAAAGAAAATAAAATTTTTAATTCGCTCATCATTTAAATTAATATTTTACTCGAATATAATTTTATTTCGTTAAAATAGAAATATTTTTTCGTGCAATCATTATATTCTTTAATTCAGTCAGTTTGCAAGGCTTTCTTTAATAAGGTTTGAACCATTTTTTAGGCGTTTCACTCTTATTTATTATTTGACTATTGCATTGTTTCCATTCATTCACTCATTTTCTTGCAAAATAGTAAATAAATTATGGAAAAGCGGGAGATAATGGGAGAGAAGCGAGTGATGTGCTGTTTCGACTGAGGTCAAGCACCATGGGTTGGGTTCTGGGTTCTCGTACCTTGATAGGAGGAAGGTTGACCCAAATAAGTCATTATAGTCAATAAGTTATTATAGAAAGGACAATACCTCTGAAGTGACTCTCTGACGAAAACTGTTACTTAATGTAAAACCAGAAATGGTGCACGATATTCAGAATCAAAAGGTGACTGCAGTTTTATACTATGTGAGCATTTATAGACTTCTAGCAATTATATTGTCAATAAATCGCACGTTTTATCGAAAATACTCTGTTGTGTTGTGTTCACATTTAAGTGGTTCTTGCGATTCTACATTTATATTTATAATATTTAACTTATACATATATATATACATTCATGTATTTAATCATTTATTTTTTCCTTTGCCATCATTACGAATGCATTCATACATACTTCACATTCCAAAAATTAAGTTTGATTTTTGATGATATTCTCTAAATAAATCCGTTATGTAGCGATGACGTAATTAACTATTGGTTATGGAAGGGGGAGTCCGACTGAGTCTATCGAAGTGCATCGCGTTCTTTTAATAAGGACGCATTTGAAAAGGATCATCTAAGGTTCTTGAAAAAGATTCGAAACATGAAGAATATTTAACAAGTACCAATATTTCTCCTTGTCGTCAAATTTTCCTCGACATTGGCATCATAAAAATCGTTATTTTTTTCTGAGAAATGGAATCCTTTCCTTGAATATAAGAAAAATTTCAGAAGTTCTTGAAACAATTATTGATATTATGGATAATTCAACTTAATTTTCCTATTCATCCTTTTGTGTTATTTCTCCATTTTTAATGTTTTCTCAGTGTTAAGAATAGTTACTGCAAGGAAATGATTTTTTATCAGCTATTGTTATTTTCTAGAAATGAATTCCTATTGTTTCTCGTAAGTAAATTAATGGTTCGCGTTCATTTCACTGGCTGTTAGAGGGTCAAGGCAAAGAGAATCATTTAGAGATAGAAATACGGGTGAATGCCAAAAATTGGCAGGATTTGCTTTTACCCGAGGAAGAAGCCGAGGGGAGATAAATTTGAATAACCATTCAACTGGCCTAATTTTTCCAGTGACTCCGAGATTTTTTGTGCTTTATTCGAAACCGATTTGATTTGTTACATGAATACGCAGCAGTGCTCCAGAAATTGTCTTAAACTGACGAAGATTTCAAGCTTTAATATGACCAACAAATCGTCTGCAATTATTTATTTTAATCGAGCTTATTTATCGAAATTTCTCCCATTGGCATTATCAGCGACGAACGTCAATCTTTACCAATATTAATCTCTATCTATACCATAAATTATAAAATATTTATGAATTATTGATCTTAGATTTTTTGTTCCAATGGATAATTCTTGCATACCTCTTAGCTAAATTTTTTCCATATCTTTAATACTTTATAATATTTATTTCACATTTTCTTTTTGACAAATCTTGCTGTTCATCTTCCTTCTTTTTCTTTATCGTTTCTGATTTTACTGATTAATTAACTTAGGATGGAACTATCTTGCCAAAGAGTCAGTTGAGAATTAAGAAAAACACTTGGATCACTAGAATCGTCATGATTCGTTATGAAAAAAATTTCGAACCTTGAGCGGTTATATTTCTATTCCGCTGTTATACTATTTTTGGAATATTTTAGAATTTCTATAAAAAACGGGCTAAGTTTTTTTTCTAAAAAATTTAAAAACAAAGAATTGAAATTATATACATATATATATATATATATATATATGTGAATTATATTATATATATATATATTTTTTTAAGAGTCTTCACCATTACTGGTTAAACTCGATCCACTGGCTTGTCACATTGAAATACAGGTGAGTCGCCAGCATCACCCGGATATATATATAAAATTTAAATTTATTTAAATTTTTTTTAAAATTTTTAAAAAAAATTTTCCAATTTTTTTAGTTTTATCCTATTAATAAGTAATATTTAAAAATAATCAAATGTTGTTTTCAACAGGAGTAAACCTGTCAATATCAAAAATCCGGGTGACTACTGGAGATCCACCTATAACTTCCCAAGTGACTTTATGGTGAAATGGTCAGATGTTCTTGAAACGGTTGTCCGCGTCCTTCGACAAGCATGATACTCCCAGTCCGAAGGTACAAGCATGCAAATCCGGGCCTAATAATAGTAATAATAAAGCAATTCCAAGGCTTGAGCATAGTTTATGGTCGTGAACCGGGATAATGGATAATTATTCAGAAACAAGGGAGACAAGAATTTACCCGTTAACACTTAAGCGTGGCGAGATGTTGGCAATAGCTGCTTGGAATGTCAGAATACTTATGGACGTTAGAAACCAAGAGATCACTGTCCACACCCTCCACAGCCTTTCTAAATACAGAATTATGCAATATTTTTACTGATTATTTCCATTTTATTGAAAAATTTGAAGGTTTTTTATTTTTTGGCAATCGTTTTTCTTTTTTCATATCAATTTCTGGAATTTTAGAATTTATTATAAATAATTGAGCTAAGTTTCTTCTAAATTTTTTAAGCAAAGAATTAAAAAATAAATTATATATTAATGTATAAATATATAAATATATATATTATTATTAAATATATATGATATTATAAATATATATTATATTATAAATATATATATTATTATAAATAAATATAT